GAGCAAAATAGAACCTAAACTCTTGCTCAAAAAGCGCTTTAAACTTTGAACTCTTAAAATAAGCAAAATAAAATCTAAACTTTTAGATTTATAATAAATTAAATCCTACCATTATCTTCTTTGATGTCATTACTGTTCACCATAGGTCTTAGTTAATTAGCACCACAGATCCTTAACTATTACACGAGTAGCATCCTAGACCTTGAACTTTGAAATTTGGAGCAAATTACCTCTATCGTTTATATATAGAAAGTTAACTATTATATAGACTAAATTAGCCTTAGCATAGTTCATCACGGTAAATGCATCGTTGGCTATGGTAAACGACCCATAATTTTGTAAAATAATATTTTTTGTCTTTTTTTTTTTGCAATGTTTTCAAATGATTGGTATCATATGCTTCTGTATACTCTACAACTCTGATTTAGTCTTATTATGAATAATATTCATTTATTTAATGGCAAAAACTTGGGATCCCATTTGAAAAGAAATTTAAGTATCATAGCATTTTATGGAAGCATGAAATACCAATTATTTGGAAAACATCACAAAAAAAGAGGACAAAAATATCATTCCACAAAATTATGGGTCATTCACCATAACCAACAATGTATTCACCGCAACGAACCACGCTGAGGCTAAATTGGTTTACATAATAATTAATGTTCTATACATAAACAATATGAGAATAGTTTAGGGTTCATGGTGCTAATTAATTAGGGTCCACAATGAACAGGACGGTTTAATTTGCTATAAATTTAAAAGTTTAGGGTTTATTTTGCATATTTTAAGAGTTCAGAATTATAGGTTCAGGACACTTTTCCAGCAAGAGTTGAGGATCTATTTTACTTATTAACCCTATATATATATATATATATATATAATTAGAAGTCATGCTATATATTTTTATTCATAAGCCATTAACAATTTGAATTTTTTGTGAAGCTAGCAAAGTACTATATATTAATATATAATCTTTTTTTTATTGTTCTCATCACAAAACCATCCTCTTCTATTGTTTTTGACCTTTTTGTCATTATTACACATACAAAAGACAGTAATTTTAAGGAGATAACTATTTATGCCTTTTCCTAAAAATGCAATTTCACGTGTATTGGCAAACAAACAAGTATTAGAGTAAGACTTGTAAATTACAGCAAGATGTAGAAATAGAGCAAAAGAAGGAATAGAAAGGTGAAGAAAATAAAGGTGTCACACCCCGAAAACAGAGAATGACCAGTACAAGATATGAACCATTTCACATTTCCCTTAAACCCTAAATTGAGAAATCATTTCATTTTAAAACATAGTTGAATTTGCACTGAAAATTATAACATACATAATAAAAATTATTATAATAAAAGTTTCAATATTTTTGTAAAAATTTCAGTAAAACCTCCCTATAAATAAGATTTTTCCAAAATTTCTAATCTGTCAATATTTTACACAAAATATAATATCAATAAGGAGCTCAGCTCCTTCCAGCTAGTAAACAACATATATCAAAATAAAAACCTAGCTATAAGCTATGTTGGAGCAACTAACCTTACTTTCAAAATAAAATGCATCAGTTCAAATATTTAAGTCAAGAGGAGATAATGCTAAGTGAAATACCACCCAAAACAATTTTATGCCTTTTAGAGGTCAGCAGTAGGGCCAGCGTCAACTAATGAATCTGACAAGGGTAATGCTAACTAAATGTGGCTCAGAGCCATGAAATCAAACGCAAGTATTAGATCCACGTACAACAAATATGATAATAGAGCTCATGAAATTCAAACTACTAGTCATTAACCATGGCATGCTAAGGGCTAATGGAGCTGCTGTTAGCCATCAATGTTCTGTCTAAAGTCCCATTCTAAATTCATTTTCAAACATAAAAGAAAATCATCACTTTTAAAGTCAAACTTACATAAATAGTTTTGAGAATTAAAAACTTACCAAAATAAAATTTCATATCTAACATCCATGTCTGGCATATACTAAGTAACCCAAAAATAACCAAAGTTGATAAAAATAATCTCATCAATTTTGAAAGTATCCTTTATATAAAAAAAATCACATGCACATGCCATAATTCAAATATCATTCAACATCTCATTATAATTTTTCAAGACAAAAACAATTTAATTAATAAAGTATTAAATACACAATATAATTGTTATTAAATGATCCATGTAAAAAAATTATTTTGGAAAAAGAATTTTATTGATAATTTAGTTGGGATACTATGCATTTACCCACTATTTTTCAAGGTTCAATATCTCTTCTTACAACCTCAATCAATTTTCTCTTTCTCCAAACAACCTATATATAAAAATATAATAATATTTTAATAAGCTTCCTACAAGTCCATAACTCCCTTTCAACATCAATACAACCAAAATCAATCAAATTTTTGTTTTAAGTTCCCTAAGCATCATTATTTATATCACTTAAAAGTTAACTACCAAGAGTTATAAAATTCCAAGATCTCAGAATTTGCACAGTATAGTTTCACCATGTTACTTTGGCCATAGTTCATTTCTCGATTTTTTCTTTTAAATATGATTTCCATTTAGATCTTTATATCCAGCAGTTCATCTGCGTAATTTTCAACCAACTCAATAAAACTTTTTAACCTTTGAATCACTTACCCAACAATTCCTAAACACTCGCAATTAGATTCATCATGCTTTTCCAATTCAAGTCCTACATCCAACGCTGAGATTAAATCTTAACTTGTCATCCCAAATTTTTTTTCCATCACCAACAATTAACTATAACTAAGAGTGTGACTACTTACATACACCCCATTTAATCACCATAAAAATTTAAAATTTTTCTACAACCCATTTTATCGAACAGCATAGGTGCACCTTCTAAATTATGCTATAAAACAGCACCATAGTTTATAATCACCCACCATATAACTCCCAAGAACTAAATTAATTATATACTAGCTTCATAACCCAATTTCTTCACAGCACCAAGCTCAAATTTACAAAATAACATTTCTTAAGAGATAAACGAGATTATAGGAAATACATAACCTACGAAGCTCCTTCTAATACACATTTAATCAAACACATTATAGGTATTAATTTTCAAATTTTAATTCTAAGCTTTTGGCTTTAAATCCCATCTCAACAATCTACAATATAACTTTTGGGTTTGTTATTTTATTGTTTATATATCTTTTTTAATCAAATTTTCCAGCAAGAGTCAATTAAACCCAAGAAGAACTCAACCTAGACTATCCTCATATTAAATCATATCCTCCCAACTGAGACACACACGGCAGCAGAACAAATAATAGGGGAAAATTTTAAAATCTCAGCCACTTAAACGGGTACACACATGAAATTGACAAGAAACAAGGTTCGAAGCTTCAAACCTGAATCATCCACAAAGAAGGGGAAGAGGAAGAAATCGACGGAAGTAGGGGAAAGAGTCATGAAACCATGGCAGCACACACAGCAACGCACAGACAGAGCAGGAATAAGGAGGGAATTTCCTGCCACTCACACTCTCCGATGGCAGCAGCGAGAATGGAAAAAAAAAAAAAAAACTGTGACTTCAACAAAACCTCCACCACAGCAGCGATCATCAGTGACAACATGCAGGGAAGGAAGACGAGATTCCAGCTGGTGTTGCAAGACAGCACGAGCACCATAGCCCGCGGAGACGCCAAGAACGGTGGAGGAGTGCAATGGCGGTGCAGAATCAGAACATTCGTGTCGGTGAAGGGAAGGAAAGAAACGAACTCGCGAATGCTCTGTTTTCGCATCAGGGATATAAATTCTGAACAAAATAATAGAATAATTGTGAAAACTATAAGAAATGACACAAGAAAAATGTACAAGAAAAGGCACAAAGTTTTTCCATAATCTAAAACAAACTAAAACCACACTTTTTTCTTGATAAAATTCAAACTCTAGACCAAAAAAAATATTAGATAAGTTCCTCTAAACTACTACTCTCTACTTACTATAAAATTAATTTAAATAAAATATCTATTAGGAGAAAAATTAATTTATGTTAATTTAAAAAAAAAATTGGGTCATTACAAAAGGAACGGAGAGAATGAATTTGTGGATATTTTATTAATTAGCTCCTTAGCATTTCGCTAATTGGAAACTATTTCTTGATTTGTCAGAGAGAATTCAACTGGATAAAATCTCACTGCGTCAAATTAAAGTGTAGAAGATTTTGCTTCTAATGAGAGTAAAAGAAAGTTCCCAATTAAAATAAAAATCATTTTGCTTAATTTTATATGCATAAAATATACTCCATAAAATATTAACTAAATTATACATTACTCCCCTGAATTTTGGATCACGTACACATGACCTACTTAACCTTTAAAACTTTATAGTGAACCCTCCTCGACTCTTATATTTATGCAGATAACTCTACTTGATTAATTTTATATATTAATTATTTACATATAACTTAAAGTTTAGGAGGTTATCCATATATCAATCAAAGTTTGGGGGCTTAAATGCACACAAAATAAAGTTTAAAGTGGTATATACAAGCTCAGTGGTGATCTAAACTATAAACAATTAAAATTAGAGTAATTTCATCACACCATTAAATTCTAACAAACGTCTATTAGTTTTCTAAAAAAAAGTGGGGCTTTATGTGCAATTTTTATCAAATTTCACTCTCCCTCCTCCTACTACTTTTATTCAGTGAAAATTACATATTAAACCTCAATTTAACAGACATTTATTTAAACTTAATGATGAGATTGAAATTGTTCTAACTTTAATTGTTTATGGTTTGAAATGTACCTTTTAAAAGTTATAAAGTTCAAATCACTCCCAAATTTATAGTTTAAAGTTCAAATGCATATTAATCCTATAGGATTAATAAATATAATGGACAGGAATTATTCACATAAACCTAAAAGCAGGTTTATTATCAAGTTTTAAAGATTAAAAGGGTTATTTGTATGTGGTTCAAAGTTTGAGGGAGTTTTGCATAATTTAGCCTAAAATATTTAATAATAGTAGTTTTAATCACTCCATAAAATGTATGTATATATATGTTATTGTTTACAACAGTTATTGAATGCAAATGGTGTCGTAGTTAAGAATTTGAGGACAATAATGAGTGATATTGATGAGACAAAAGTCGTGGAGTGAGGAGAACTTCCAATGGAGTCTCCTTAGGCAAAGTAAAGCTGGAGCCTTCTTTCATGTCCACTGGTTCATCGCCTACGGCCTTCAACTCAAACCCTTGAAGCAAACGAGCCAGACTCAGCAAACTCACTTGCATGGCAAAACTAGAACCAGGACATGCCCTTCTTCCGGACCCAAAAGGGAGGTACTGAAAATGGCGACCTTCATGATCAACATCTCCATTATTTTCTGTAATAAACCTCTCAGGCATGAACTTCTCAGGCTGTGACCAAATGGATGGGTCTCTATGGAGTTTCCACACGTTGGCAAAAACTCTGGTGCCTTTTGGGACGTAATAGCCAGAGATATAACAGTCTTGTGTTGCTTCATGGGGTATTAAAAGAGGACCTGGTGGGTATAATCTTAAGGCTTCTTTGAGAATGGCTTGAAGGTAAATTAGGTTTTTGATATCTGAAGTTTGGACCCATCTTTGCTTGCCTACGTGATGATCGATCTCCTCTTGGGCACGCTTTAGAACGTGTTTGTTGTTCAATAATAAGGCTAGGGTCCATATCATGCCGAGGGAGGTTGAGTCCGCTCCTGCTAAGATCAGATTCTACAAACATGAAAAGAATCTAATGATGTGAGAGTCATTTGAATAAATTAATAAATTTTAAAAATAAAAAAATTATAAATGAATCAAATATGATAAAAAAAATAAAGATAATGAAAATGATTAGTCATTTAACCAATCAAGTCAGTGTTTCAAGAGTTAGTGGTCCAACTGTGTATGGTTATATTAGGATCAACCTAGTCACAATTACGATAATATAATATAATTAAACTATACTAATGTTCATATATAACCGTGAAAAAGAATAATATATAAATAAAAAAGGACGTTTCTTTACTAGTAAATGAAATATAAATAACATATAATCTAACAAAATAGAGTTACTAAAGCATGAATTTGATAGACTGTTATTACACTGACCTCTCTTTCATTTTGCTAAAATTATGGAGACCTGCTTTTATTTTCAAAACCTACAACTTTAGTTTAATTGTTAACAAAATTAGAAATATTCCAATAAAGATTCTAAAATACTTCATTTTTTATTTGTAATTATCTTGAAAATTTAAAATTAATATTTGTATTTATAATTTAATTGTATATTCTCTCTTCTGATTTTAGAAACTTTGAATAATTAAGTATGTCAATATTTAAATAAATAACTTAAAACTTTTGTGTAAAAAATAATGATTTTTTAAAAAAATAAATATAAATTATATTAATAAATTTATTATATTAAATATTATTGTATTTCAAGCCAAAAAAAATCCTTCATTCGATTAAGTTTTTTCATAATGTTTTTAATAAATACGTTCACAAAACAAAAAATTTAAAATATAAATAAAAAAAATTAATTGTTTTTGATAATATGAGTAATTTTTAGATACATTTATATTCAAATAGGGTATTTTGGTCTAATATATATAACTTAATGTTCGATTAACGATTAGGTGGACGTAAACGAAATCTTAAAAATAAAAGAGATGTTTGTATTTTGTATCTATTCATGTCATGGGAGATTTGTATAGATTTCAAAAATAAAAAGAAAGGTCAACGTAATTGTAATTGAAATAAAATAAGGGAAAGGTCAAAGTATTTTAGTCTATTTTTTTAACTTGAAATGATGTCACTTCAGGCTCAAGAGAGGGGGGAAAAAAAAGTAAATCCAACCTGATTGATCTAACGAAAACTCTTTATTGAACCTGTTAGAGGCCGGCTAACTCGGGTTGAGTTTTAATACATGCTAAAAAAAAAAAAAAACATGTGTGTTATGCCAATATGCTTTCAACTTATGATAATTTACTTAAAAAGTCAAACAAGAATTTTATGCTTACCAAGAGATTTGCTTTGATGATAGTGTCGCGCGTATAGCCGGAGGTAGGGTCGTCGTCTTCAATTACAGAGAGCATGAAGTCAATGAAATCCTGCTTCTCTGTGGACTCTTTAGGATTCTCACGATGCTCTCAACCCAACTTGACAGAAGAGAATCCAAATCATTCGCAATCCTCTTCATCGATCTCAGAACTTTCCCTTCACCACCAAACCATCCCAGAAATGGAATCAAATCCGAAGGAACAAACTCACCAGAAATATGCAAGCAGTCCTTTAACAGTTTCACAACCCTACGTGCCCCTTCATTATCCACATCCTGCAAATCCCCAAAGTATCTCTTCCCGGCAATCATCCTCGTTATTATATTCAGAGTCAATCGCTCCAACCACTGGTTCATCACAACTCTACCTTCATGAACATCTCCGAGATACGAGTAAAGATGGCCGATAAATACTTCGATCTCACACTCATACACGTGCCTCAACTCTCCTAGTCTGCGGGCTGATAAGAGCTCAAGCATGACCAGCTTCTTCAATTTGCGCCAGTACGGGCCGTCCGGCGCAGACCCGAACCCGGCGTAGTTGTATCCGAGATGGACGCCATGGCTTGATTTCGGACGAGCAGCTAGGGTTTTGTCGTTGGTGGTGAAGCAGTCTTTAATGGCGTCTTGGCTGCTAACAACGAGGGCAGGGAAGGCCCCGAGTCGGATGGTGAAGATGGGACCGTACTTGTCTGCGAAAGAAGCTAAGGTGTGGGCGAGAGGAACTTGAGCTCCAAGAAGATGAAGATGGCCTAATAGGGGTAAGGCCCCTGAAGGTTCTGGTGCTACCATGCCTTTGGCTCTGTGATTTGGTGATTTTTTTCTGAGACCTGATCCATACAAGTAGTGACAAGAAGAGGATTGAAATTGCTGTTAGTGTTGGGAAAGAGAAGAGATCCATTATGGTTTCTCTCGTCGTGTCTTGGATTATTTGATGTTTTGGGAAGATGATGGCGGGCTATATGTGTGTGTGTGTGAGTAGAGAGAGAGAGAGAGAGAGAGATATGGCTTAAGACAAAAGGCTGGCACAACAACGATAATAAAGAAAGGGCTAGGAGGATGACGATGAGAAAACTTGTAATGCATGTATACGACATTACTATATAATACATAACTGCCGTCTTACCTGAGTAATTGTGTTATATTTAGGAGCCGGTTTTGTCAAGATAATTGTATTGTATTAGTCAAAAAAAATAATTGCTATGTTTTTCGGTTATGTGATGATTAATGGTTTGTAATTTATAATTCTCAACTTTTATGTAGATAGAAAACTCAGTCGAGAGAGTTTACCTTCTATTCTCAATACCTTGAAGAAGATAATATTTGTTATCGATAAAATTTACTGCTTGTGCTTATAAAAAATACTCATAAGTCTCTCAGAGGAGACAAATGATAAATTTTGCTGAATCATGACATTTATCACTCATCTTATACTTTTTCTCAATTATGTATTGTTCAAATTTAAATCCTTACACATCATGTATTAATTAGTGGCAGAGTCAAATCCTGGATTAGTAGGGTAATTTTTAAAAAAATTAATAATTTTAAAAATAATTTAATAATTAAAAAATCAATTATATATATTTATTACATTATTGGGATTTGAGCTAAACAATTGAAAATTTTGGATTTGAGTTTAGAAAAAATATAAATGAATTTATGGTTCAAAATATTAAAAAGATGGGGCCTTTTTGAAAATGATCATAAATATTTTATTAAGTTTTGCAAATTTCTTAATACTAAAACTTATAAAAATGAACTAATTTAAGTTGGCATGAGTAACAAAGTTTCTCATCACTTAATCAAATGATTGGTGTTCAAATTTTAACTTTTTGAATATGTAACAATTTAATTGAAACAAGTCTATCTTTTGACCTCGATATCTCAAAGGAAATAATTTATGCTGTCAATGGAACCTATTATTCCTTGTGCTATAAAAAATCATGAAAATAAGTTTATAAATAAAAAAAACGAAATAATATAAAATACATTAGAATTTGTACTGCAAGCATTAACAATTTGAATTTTTCTATTACACAAATGCGCCAAGCAGTTTGCTTCAAGCAATTTTAATTTTTTGGTCAATTGCTTCAAGCAACTTACATACCCAAAATTTGGCTTTCAGCATGAAATTAAGCGCCTAAGAATGGTTGCAGTGATGGAATCTATGTTAATATTGGTATAATTTTATAAAGTTATCGATAACGTGAATTCTGGTTAAAAAAAAAAAAAACAAAGATCAACAACGTGAGTTGCATTAATTAGTTATTTAATTAAGCAAATTGGATTAGTGTATCAGGGATCTAAATCCTTTGAAATCTCTCATGACTGGTGCTCAACACCTCACCGATGTTCCTCATTGACCCAACTAAGGGTGTCAATTAGGGCCGGCTCTTCAAGGGCCAAGGCCTAAATAAACTGACCCTTTTAATTTCAATTATATTTTAGGGTTCTATTTCTAACAGCCCGACCCTAGCCCTCAGGGCCTGGCCCCTAATTATTTTTAAAATTTTTCAATTTAAAAATTAAAAAAATATATTTAAAATCTTAACAAAGTTATTATACATCATATTAAGTCTAAAAAAATAAAATAAAATCAATTCACACAACAAAAATTTTAAATTTGATAAAAAAATACTATTCCAAAATCAACTCCAACATCAATTACACGTTGGTAGTATTATCAGCTAAACTTTGATGATTTTATCATCATCAACATCAATATGATTTGATCCTTCTCTTTATGGATCCTCATCTATGGCAAAATATGTTAAGCTTTTCATATCTTTCTTTTTCATCCTCATTATTTGTAATAAATAATAAACCAAAATCATAATTTTAAGGTATTTAAAGAATGCAAAAATATTTAAAGTAAGCAAATAATAATGTGCGTGTCTACTATCTGAATTAGAAAGTGAGTGCTAAGCTCGAGTGATGTGGTATATTCTTTTTGTTTATTTTTTATGTTGTTTTTAAAACACACACATATATATATATTAGGGCTTAAAAGGATCGACCCTATTATTTTCAGGCTTAAAAGGGTCATTTACCTTTTTAAAGATCAAAGCAGCAGCCCAGCCCTCAATTTTTCGGGCATAAAATGATTGGCCCTACGGGTTCAGCTCTAATTAATGGCTCTGGACCCAACCTTCTGATGTCTGAACTTCATCATTGCTTTAATTTTTGCACCTTAATCCATCCCCCCATCTCTCTCTCAAGATTTAATTGCAATGTGGTGCTCTTTTGATAAATTTATTACAATTTTTTTACTATTTATAATAAAATAAATGAAACAAGAAGTTCAATTGATAAAAAAAAAAAAAAGACAACTTAGGCTTCATGAATAATCTCGTCTTAAGTCTCAAAACTCCTTCCTGTACATGCATGTTTTGCTTCGTGGCTGGTAGAAGCATTGTTAACTACTTTTTACATATATATGTTTCCTTTTCATTGTAATTTGATGTTGTATTTGATTGAATGTAGGGAATTTGAATTTGGATTTAAGATAAGTCAACTATTTAAATCCACAAAAATTATGAATTTATTTTATTATATTTTTTTGTAATTTTAAATTCCCTTTATACTTTAATTATTATAAAACTCAATATATTATTTTAACATGAAAGTTTGATTTCGTAAATGTTAAATTGTTAAATTGAACTTTCAAATGAAGTAACTTGACTCGTAAATTTTAAATTTTTAATATTTGAATTAAAAAAATATTAAAATAAAATATATTTGATTGAATTAGTGCGAGTGAGTCAATGTCAGCTATTAATTGACCAGTAATTGATCAAAAGTCATAAGCGTTGGGGTTATTTCACACATTTTCCAAACTACTTACCATAAAATTAATTTTCTGAACTAAAATTAATTTTTTTAGGAAAAGTTATCCAAACAGCAATAACATTAAGTAATCGATTACTAGCTAAAAAAATCAATTTTTGATATAATCTTTCAGAGGCAGCTTCTTCTCAGGATCAAAAATTGATTTTTGATATAAATCTACTGTTACAATATTAATATAATTTAAAATTTTATAATTAATTAGATATATAATTTAAATAATATATTTTTCTTCTTAAATAAAATTTAATAAATTTAATAATATTAGATACAAATTTATCAATAATTTAATTTTCAAAAGCAATATCTTTTATTATAATTTGCACAGCTAAAATTAATTTTAATTAAATTATTCAAATATATTTAATTTTTTTAAAATTAATTTTAAAAAAACAGTATCCAAACAAATTACGTTATAATATAATCAATTAAAATTAAAATTAATTATATTAATAAATTATTTTTATAATTAATTATATCCAACTAAAATTCAAACAGATTATTAAAATTTTTTTAAGCCTATTAGTAATTGATAATTAGTAATAAATTAAATTTGGAATATCTATTGGTAATTTGGTATTTAAATTTTTTATCTATTGGTAATTTTTCCTCCCAATTTTGTTTCGTAGAAGAAAAGCGTTCCCGATTGTTTTTAAAACACGTGTGGAATTACATAGCATCAGATTAATCTAACGAATCCTATTAATTTGTACCACCATCTCTCTCGCTCTCTCAGTATAAAAGCCAGAAAAACCTAAAATGGCCATTCAAATACAGTACGCGCGCGAAGACCTGCGCATCCAAACACAGAGCTCTTGGCTGAAGCTGTGTCGTTTTCATGCTATCCGGTGGACTCTTCATCGCCTCTTTCCCCTAGCTGTTACCACGTTTTGCGATTGTGAGGCTGCATCCATCAGCAAATCTGGAAGCTCTGGAGGCTTCATTTGCAAATGGAAATCATTGGGGGAAACAGAGGAACATTTTGAATCTATAGGCTTCCAAATCCAGTATCATTTTCGGAATCTCAGGCACGTTAGATATTAATATTTTTTTTTACTAAATTTTTAATATTTATAATCGCTATGAACAATTTTCATTTCGAAACTCAGAGACGATATCCATCCTGCATTATTTAATGCACACACATCTTGTGTATGATTTTCTGTTGATGAGCTTTTCAAGCTTAATCTCACAAAAGAAGTTTATTTTGGACATATTAAATATGGGCGCTTGGCTAATATGGTTCATATCTCTTTCCCGCCTTATTTTTCTATGCTATCAATATTTATCTTGTCTGTATATATTGTGCATCTCGTTTGTTAAATGCCTTTTGTGTATGGTAAAGCTGTGTTTTGTACTATTAGACTGGTGTCCATATTCCATACATAAGAGGTGAAGCCTATAGCAGTCCTTAATAAATGACCTCATTTTCTCCCAAAGACAGAGCCCCCGAAATCTCTCTGTTTTTCGTAAGTAGAATAATTAATAAATATCCATCACATACACAAAGAACTATTATTTTAGTAGAAAAATTCTGTTAAGACCTTTATATTGTCTTAAATGACATAAGATGACTAAGAATATCTTGATTTCCCCCTAATCAATATAAAGATTGAATTTGAATCTAAGTGAACAACAGAAAATTGTTTCCGTAGTCAGTTGGAGGAGTTTTAAGTTTTGCGTTCTACCTATAAAATTGCCGTTATATATGGCCTCACCAACGCACATTTCACACTTCCCAAATGCTTTGCTTTTCCATTGCAACGAAAACCTAGAAGCCTTGGAAACTAGTATTGATCTTTTCATTTAGCATCGTCGACCTTACAGGTTCTTCTCCCAATATTTAGCATATTGTGTGTGTGTGTGTGTGTGTGAGCACATGAAACTAGTATTATGAAAGATGATCTAACATCTAATGATACTTGGTTTAGCTGTTCATGATTATGGCTGCATACGAAGCAATGGAGCAGATTTCGTTGACTCTTGTGGTGGACAAGACAACGAATAAGGTACTGTATGCTGAGGCAGGGAATGGCTTTCTTGATATTCTTTTAAGCTTCTTTACAATGCCCTTGGGAACTATATCTACACTTGTTCGGAAAAAGTCCTCTGTACAACCTTGCAAGTTTGGCTGCATCGGCTCACTACATTGCAGTGCAGAAAATCTGGACTCCAAGTCTTTTCTTAATTATGATGAGGGTAAAGACGACTTGTTGGATCTAGAACCAGCGGAAGCTTGGGGTGATGATGTGCAATTTAACTCTTTACATTATATTGTCTATGATGATCTAAAAGTGGTGCGTTGTGATGTGAATACAACGTTGGAAATACTAAGGAATTTCGGAACTGAACATGTTCCCGTGAGACTTACTGCGGATATTACCAAGAAAGAGGTAACTAATCTTGCAAAAATATCACTGTCATTTTCTTTTCCTAATCTTTTCTTCTTTCTGTGGTGTTATTGAGTGTTCTTTAATGACTTTCCATTTCCTTTCCCTCCGGATGATCTTCTTGACACTTCTTTCTGAAGTTATTAAGTGTTCTTTCTTGAAGTTATTATCGAGTGTTGTTTCTTTGCTTTCTTAAACTTTACTTTTATTCTCTCATTTAAGTCGCATTTGTCTACATTCTCAGATGCTCAACCCTTATATGAAATGCGATTGGTTAAATTTGAAATTTTTATTATTTTAACTCTCAATCTTTATATATGCTTCGTTTGTGAAGGCATTGGATCTCCTCAAGTTATCGTTATATTCAGAGACACCATTGACAGATTTATTCTTGCGCAAAGAACCGCACATAAAGAACTGTATTCAAGCCCAACCACAATTAAAGATCAACGTAAGTGAGATGCAAGACAGAGAGGGTAAGAAGATGGAGCTAAAGTTGAAAGTGATAATATCAAAATCAAAGAGCAAAATAGTGTTTGCTGAAGCAGATCATAAGTTCGTTAATCAGCTCTATAGTTTTCTGTTAATACCACTAGGTGCAGTGGAACGCCTTGCCCAAGGCAACACTGGTTTTGTCTGCATCGATAACTTGTACAAGAGTGTGATTGATTTGCGTGAAACCATTAAAGATAATGATCCATATTCTGGGGCAACGTCATTTTCTAATGCATTGAGGACGTTCATCGATCCTTGTATTGGCCGAGAAATCAAACGTCTGATGTTACCTGTTCCAATAAATCATTCAAAGAGGCCATCTGAGTATCTTGGTTACATGAAGCAGGAAACAATGTACATGGTATCAGATAATTTGTGGGTACAACCATTTTCATCTCTGGCTGCCTTGTCAGTTCTACATGAATCCCAAGTTTTTGCAGATGACTTGGAAGTGAAGGACATTTGCATTGGTGTGAATGAGGTAGTACTTTTAATCTCAGACATTAATAATATGGAAACATGAACAAAGGAAATGCATTTAGATTTTTGATCTAAATTGTTAAACTTTGTCCTTAATTATAGTTCCAATGTAGGTGTTGGGGATCCTGAATGCTGCTGTAACGTCATCATCGGCTTTGACAAGGGGTTTGAGTTCGTTCATTAGAAATTCAAAGAGGAAGAGAAGTGGGGTAGCTAGTAATTATGGAAATTTAATTTTGTTTCTGTGAATGAAGTTTTCATTACATTTTTTGGCGTTCCTGATCTTACTGTTAGATAATCAACACCTAAATGGAACATGGGCTTTTGAATTGTAGCATTGAGGACTGCTTTCGGTCCGTTGTAGTAACCGTGAAAGGGACTCGATCTCTTTAAAAAAAAAAAAAAATTGTACTGAGAGACCTTAACCTTCAATTTCAATGATGACCTCTCTCTCTCTCTCTCTCTCTCTCTCTCTATATATATTCATGGGGATCGTTTTACGATATGTCATTTAAATTGGATATTATTGTGTCCATCATTCTTTATTAGTGGTGAGCCTTAATTTGATTAAGTAGACGCATCTACCCATCAATTTTTTTTAAAAAAAAAGTGTCTTTTTTACATTTTAAATTATAAGGTATTTTTAAATGAGATTAGCGTCCTAATAAAATAGAAAACATTTTGATAAAAATAAAATTTTATTAACGATGTCATTCTGATATTATTTTTCTCATTATATTTTTTTTATAAATGGAGTATTAAATGAAAAATATTTTTAAAGTTTGTATTTTTATTTTAAAAAATAATTATAAAATATATTTAATAAATTTTATTAATTTGTATAATTTTATTTAAAAATATTTTATAATTTAAAACGAAAGGTGTGATTGTATTTACTTTTTCCTTTCTAGAAAACACTTTCATAGTTGTTAAGTAGCAGTTCCTTGATCTCAACAATAATGTCATGGAACGGGGGTCCTCCCAAATTGCCTCTGGCTACAAGGTGGTAGCAACCGGCACATTAAAATTTAATGAGATTTTATGAAACAATATGTTCAATAGCTGTTTTGAGAGGCTATATGACTAACGATTTTGTAACCTGATGACCTCTCTTATAAATAAAATTTCGCGGTTCCATCATTACAAAGGTGTTAGTGCCTACCCTCACCTCTGCATTTAAAAAAAAAAATTATTGTAATTTCAACGAAACTATACTCAAGTAGGAGGTAAGCTTGCTGGATATCCAGTGTACAAGATGCAAGAAAGCTTTTTCGAACGAGGAAGATGATGGTTTGGGAGAAAATATGTCAATCGTGTAGAATGTTCATTCTAACCAATGTTTATTACAATCTTCACTCACGTTATCCAAGCCAAGAAGAGGGGCTCAAGTAATCTTGGTCTAGGCTTGATGTAAATGAAGTGAGACTTGATGCCCACGGTTTGTGTCTTGAAGATGCATCCAAGTGTGGAGGTGTCATATGGAGCAACCAAGCAGATTGGATCATCGGCTTCCACTATAATGCTGGCTATCTTCTTCCGGCCATCACTAAGATCAGTCACGGAGTCACATATACTTGATGGGACATATGCACCCCTTAAACTTGAAAAAAATTACAAATAAATAGTAGATATTTTATTATTTTATTTTTTCTAGTCACAAAATTTTGAACCCTTTAAAAATTAGGTTCTTTTTTGGTGAATGTTTTAATTTAAGTTCAATTATGAATTCACTAAGTTCAAAACTCCAACATAATTTTTAAAAAAGAATATACTTATTTATTTAATTTTTTTAAATTTCTGATTAATTATTATATATTTTTATATATAAATAATATCATAAATTATTGACTTATATGGAAGGAAATATTTTTAATACCATTTGACAATAAGTAGGGGACAATTATAATATATATGATTATTTTAAAAAAAATGTTAAATAATTCTTTTTGAATTATTATTTTTAAAATTAATCTACACCCCCTGACATGGGGTCCTAGCTCTACCACTGACTAAGATTATGGAAATGGTAAGAGGGTTTGAGATGTGCTTTCATATACTCATTCCTTTTAAAAATATAAGATATTTTTTGAGAGGTTGAATGTGTAATACCCAGGAATTTTAAGTAAAATTTAAAATATATAATAATGCATTTTAATTGTATTTGTATTAATGTTGGAAATATTTAAACAAGAAGGATTGTTGATCTTGTGGTAGTTGTGCTGTCAATTAACTCTTAGGTCCTGGTTTGAATCTGTCTTGTGCAAGAGAGAACTTTTATTTAATTTTGCTCCAGTGTTTGGGTGAAATTACAAGTTTACCCCTCGGTAATTAAAAAAAACAAAATAGAGAGACTTAATCCTCTTGTGCAAGGATTGATGAGTTTTTGGAACCCACATTATTATATGCAAAATTAATCCTCATACCTGCGAAATTTTCAAGATATAGGATCATTTTAAATGCCTGTGGAGATTCTTAAAATCTCACACAATAAAATAGATAATCAAGATATTTACATTTGCAATCAGTGTATAATATGAATTTAGCATTCAAAGGGATAAAGAAAAAAAACTATTTTAACACTTCACTTCTCTTTTGACTTAAGGATGTGTTCTTCAAGATTTTTCAAACTGGCTTAATATTCAAATATGACTTTCAAAAGGAAAATAATGAGAGTAGTGATGATAGCATTCAACAATTATAATAAACACGATTCACTTGTCATCTATACCATCAACACCCAATTTATTTCTAGTAAATTTTTCATATCATATAAATATCATAATTTTATGGTAGACCTAAAAAGATGTTAAACTCTCACTATTATTCGCAACTAAAGGTGTAATCTATCTTAGGCTTAAGAAGAACAAGTCCTTCCTGCACTAGATTTCTCCATGAATGCAAATAGCAATAACAAGGACAAAACCTTTCCATCTAACTAGATAAATAACTGAAATATCACACATGATAATAAATAAAGTGAAAAAAAGAAATACCTTCAGGGCCTAACTGTAAGACCAACGAGAAATAGAGAGTATGGAAATGAACAATGCAAAAGTAGTGGCAGTGTGATACGGAAGCACCAATTCCATGTAGCTGCTCAACTCCACGGATGGCTGCCTTATCATCTTTTTCCTTCTTTTCTTCATCATCTCCATTCTCGTCCTCCTCTTCTCAGTTCTCTCTCTCTCTTATCCTCTGTTTTTCATCATCTCGGTCTCTCTTCCTTCTCTAACCTCTTCTCCGTCTCGCTCTTGTTTTCTCCCACCACCAAACTCTCGGTCAGGCACTTTCCCTCTATTTTTGTCCGGCTTGAATCCCCTCGGTCTGTGCTCTATTTTTCTCTCTGTCTTCCTCTCTTCCCCGTCTCTGCTTCTCGGTTTTCTACTCTTCTTTTTCTGTTTCGTTCTTCTCATTGTCTATCTCCCCCTCATTCCCACTCTCGGTCCCTTCTTTTACGTGTAAACTCCCCTCCTTTCTCTGCCTATCTGCGTGCAGTCTCCATACTATATTTTTTCTCTCTTCTTCCACCTCTCCCCCTCTCGGTTCTCTTTGTTTTTATCTATGGCAAAAAATCTCCTCCCCCCGTCTCTGTTCTCTCATGTATATCTCACTCGGTCGTCCTTTTTCTTCCAGTTTTCCTGTCTCTTTTAAAGCAGAAACAGGGAAGAGCTTACTTGCGTGTGAGGAGAGCTTACGTGCTGTGTGTGTGTCTCTTTTTTATCTGTATTAGCTAGCGTGTCTCTGCTCTATTTCTTTTCTGCATTTTTCTCTGTGTAGATGTGGCTGTGTGTTTACGTGTTCTGGTTTCTCTGCATGGCTGAAAGTTCCTTTTTTCTGCATCTGCTCGTGCATTTTCTCAGCATTATCTTCGTGCATGCGTGGCTGACTGTTCTCTCTCTCGTTTTCCCTCTTTTTGTCTGTTTCATATCTGGTCTTCATGTGCATTCTGCTTTCGTGTGTGTGTTGATGTTGAATGTTTCTGTTCCTTCTTGTCTTGCATCTGTCTAAAAGGTTGAAGTCTGTGTTTCTTGTGTTTGCTTCTGCTTTCTGTGTGCTGTGCTGACTGCCCAGTTAAGCTGTGATGAAATGCTGATTCTATCACCGTTTTGTCCAGCTTTCTTTTTTTTTTTTTTTTGATTACTAATTCTAATTAATGAAAATAAAATTTGAGGAGAGAAAAGTTAACTCTAAAAAGTAGACTCTCAATATTCTTGAATGATTGGGATAATTTGAGAGAGATTATTTTTTTTTCAAGATTTAACCTTTCTTTTTTTTTTTATTTTGTTAAATTATCATCATTATTATTATTTTTTGAAAATATAATCTTAAAAAAGGATTGAATTTCATTTTTTTATATTTTTTTGATTATTTATTTTGTCAAAATTTAAAAAATGCCCGAACAAAACACGGTGTTCACAGGCTACGTTTGGTTACATATCCTCGTGGACTGTGTGTCCACGTTTGTTTTGTGGCATAAGTCGTGTTTGGTTAGTTACCCTCGTAGACTGTATATCCACATTTGTAAATTGTTCTGATGAGTCCCTATAATTATGAATCCAACCATTTGATGATTTCATATTCTATTAGTTTTTATTTAGTAATTTATTTCTAAATTTTTATTTCATTTATGTTCTTTCTTAAAATCAAGTGAAATTATCATTTGCTATGACATTTCAATGATTTGAGATTTTATTTGAAATTTTATAGAGCCATTTTATTATAAAGTTTATTAATTTTTTATGAAAATTATTGTCTCTTTAACTTACATAACTATTTCAAATTTTTTATTTTATTTATTGTTGGGACGTTATTCACTGAAAAATTATTTTGGTCTCAGATAGCATAATTGACGGTGTATGTCTTGCTTACCAAGGATGGGTGTTTGAGGAACAGAATGGAGGCTTGTTCTGTAAATATGTCTTATGGATGTAAAGGCGAAATTTATGTATTATGTCATGAGATATATGATTAGGTGCTCCACATAATTTATAATTAGAGTCTTTAGTTTATTATACATTTTGTGATATAATGTTGAAATAATGTTTAAGGAAAATTTTTATAATACAAAATTTTAGAGAGATTTTATTTACAAAAGAGGTTTTATCAAAATTTTTACAAAATATTAAAATAATTATTATAATGAGTAGTATCGATAGCAGTAAAAATGTCAACATAAAATTGAGTACATTTTAATTAAATAAAATAAACCTTGAATTTTTGACTTATGGGATGTATGATGTGGTTCACATCCTGTGCCGATCATCCTTATTTTTGGAGCGTGACAGAATGTTAAAAAATTTGAGATATTTTTAGCCTTTTAAGGTGTAATTATTATTTTTTTTTAAAAACGCTCCCATTAAATAAATCACTTTATATTTGTTTTAGGGTAAAACACTCTACTAAATGAGAGTAAATATAAAAAAATAAGATTAATTTAAAAATAA